CAATATAAACCATAAAAACAAAAAATAATAATTAAAGTAATTTGTCTTTATTAATTTATTTGACTTTAATATGTATTTTTAATCAATTCCTTTTCCATTTAATTAAAAAAATAGTAATAAACTGGAAGAAGATTTTCTAAAATTGTTGATTGCTTTCTCATACTTTATATTTGTTTGTTTATTATTATTCCTATTATAATATAAAATTAAAATACAATCATGGTCTATAAAAGCTTTGCTTGGTATATATATATATATATATACAAGAATTGCTCGTTTAAAGGATAAGATCATCTGTGTACATTTTCGAAAGCCTTCCATGATACTATCGATAGTATCCTACGGCCCATCACTACACACACACTAGGTAAAGTATGACTTTGACTAGAGGCGCGTCGACGAAACTCGCGCGCTGCGTGCCGCTAAGCGGCGTTACCTCTCCTCCGCTTCCAAATACTTCAGCACCCAAATTGTTAAAAATTCACTGCATACAGCGCCTTAAGTTAGAATGTCCGAATGACGAGCACTAAATGTGAATTCGAAACTGCAACTGTTGGAGTGACAATGAACAAACATTCATCAACTACACTACGGAATCTAGGACACATGTAGAAAGCAACGTCGGAACACTTTCGACTGCCCTTCCGCATAACTAGCAGTGTCACTTAAAAAACCACTTTACCCCACGCTAATAGATGACAGATTAAAGCAATATTACGTGTCCGTTAAGAATGGAAGGAGATATCAAATATTGTGTTGACGTTGAAAAAAAACCAGTCGTTAATTTAACTTTGAAAAGGTACCATATGCTTTAACAAATAGTAAGTTTAATAACTTTATAGCATAAAATCTGAACTTTATATTGATTACTAGTAGAATCAAGAAAAGGTGTTTTTCAGTACCCAGTTTCCGCAGTTGCCAAGTCGTGATAGCTTATCGTCCGCGTACTCGCTTGAATATCCGATAAAAAATACCTCGATGAAGCAGAGTTAAAATCTCAAGACCGGAATTATTTTTTATTCTCAAATTAGGCAGGTGAGACATATGTTATTATGGTAAGAATATCTGTATCACCTGCCTATTTTGAGAGTATTGTTTTTGCTCGTTTTATAACGGGAGGAAAATTGATTTTCAATGTTGCCGTATTACACTATATGTAAATAAAAAAAAGACACATATGTACATAACAACATGGTACATACTAGGTAAGCGCAGTTGCTAACGGATTCATTATTTATTTATTTCTCGGGAATCGAACTCACGCGCGTGAGTTCGATTCCCAAGAATATTTGTACAAATTATAGATAATTGTTTTCCATCTGTGCTTACCGCTGTATAATATGAGTATTAACGCCTTTACAACACAGGACTATCTCACCATACAGCAGGAGAAATTAAAAAAAAAAAAAGATATAAACAAGGAAACAAAAACGTTCACCTGTCCCTCAGAAAGGAACAAGGTTGGCAGTTCATCTGGTGTAAGTTATTACCATCGCCCACAGCACTCGTGAGATTGAAGTGACGTTGCCAACCTTTCAGAGCGTTGACCCCGATCACCTCACACACCAAACGAAAGATTAATATGTAAATACTATATGCGTCAGTGTTCTTTCATCACGTGGGACTTCCCCAAAGAAGTTGGCCCATCTATATATCAACAGAAACTGTAGATTACACATATTTAATGCATAATTACTTTCAGCGATCTTAATATTGTGAATTAATAGTTACGGGTATGAAACGGTTTCCTAAGTGTATCCATTTTTTTATTAAATTCTAGACATAATGTTATAAAAAAATGATAAACATTTAAAATCACTCTTAAGTAATTAATTACATTCATTTGAACTTATCTCAAAAAGTGCGTGATTTATACGCAACTCATTTATTTTACGCGCGATCATTCATAACTAACACGCACACAAGTTCGTGCACAGTAAAATTTAGGTATTTATGAATGACTACCATTGTTGCATTGTCAACACGTTCTATTTTTTTGGAGTATAGAATGGCATTTTTTATGGAAAAAAAACTTGTTTTTTATTTGAATAAATGATTATACTACCGAGTCTGAACCCCTGTGTAAATTTGGGCACTTCTCAAAAAATCTCGCTGTTTAAGTGAATGTTAAAATTAAAAGTTTACAAATATTATATACACAATAAATTTTAACCATGAGTTTTATTCACAAACATCAGCAAGCTTAATTAACTTGAATCAGTTAAAGAGTCACCAATCAATCTTCACTATGACAAGTCTAAGGATGGAACAAGTTCACTAACTGGCCACAGTTCTATGTAATTTATCGGTTGTTTCAACAGCTGTACATAAGCAACTTAAAGGTAAGAACACTTGGGAATAGTTTGAATGGCTTCAATTGATTTTAAAGTACTTATGGGTTGTATTTCAATGTCATCATGTTGTATAAGCCGCTTCTTGTGTCATCCAAATAGTTGTATAATGCTCAAAGCATTTATAATTCACTGAGATCTTTGTTAAAGTATGCATTTTATAACAAGCTACATATTTATATCTAATCTATATATTTTTATCTAATTGCGAAATTAAATTAAAAATTCTTTAATTTGCAGATTTCCTCAAATTTAAGATAAGTCAGCAATTAAAATTTAAGAATTTCAATGCAGCAAGTAATCATATGTGGTGATTAAATATAACTAATAAGATATGTATATTTCATTTGCATCTAAAATAAGCTATTCGTCAATAAAGAACAAGCTATACATCAAACTTAAAAGACGAGTTGGTTGGTTGTTGCCTTTGTTGTCGTGATTGACCAAAATGTTTTTATTTAAAAGGAGCACTGCTGGGAAATTCTCTGGAGATTAACTTCTACTTTTCGAATATCTATTTTTCGAAAACTAATATTTACTGATGATATTTTCTACGGTACGGGATAAAGCTATAAACTTTAATTCTAATAAATGAAAATGCAACAAATCAACAGCAACTTTCAAGTAAAATTTTTACACACAGTAAAATGTAGTTTAATAGATTTTCAAACCACCATCATGGCCCTTCAACATTGTAACAAAGGCAAGTAACTAATTTATATACAGCGTGTCGGTACCATCGCGACAATAAATGAACACACGTCTAACGCTACTTGCCAATAATCATATAAAAATATTAACGTTAAACAAAATCCATACTTAAAAAAAAATATTTTTCAAACAAACTAATTAAGTAAAAAAGAAACAAAATGTGTAACACCCTATACAACTCGCGCCACAGCGTCGCATTACAAGCCTCTCCTTCTAACAGTATGTTTTGTCTCTTTTAAATTCATTCAACCCATTCATATGCTTTGTGACCTTTACAAATGAACTTTACGTTACAGTTTTATACGTAAGGGTGTTCTAATATTGTTTGTTTTGGAAAATTATGTTCAAATATAAGGAAAGAGTATGTTCTCTTTTTGAAGGTTTCCAGGTAGTAACAGTTCGGAAAGACCGCTGGCAGCCAATTCCACAGGGCGGTTGAGCAATGCAAAATTTGAATGTAATCAAATTAATTCAATTATTATAATATTCAATCGGAGAGTGAATTTTAAATTAATAATGTCAATGTAAAAAAAATGTGTTAAGTCCTAAAAATCTTTATATTAGGATAATTATACATAATATGGGTTAATTTAGTTTACTGTAATATTAACTGTACATAAGCGGAGCTCCAAAACTATATAACTATATGTGTTATATTCTTGGAGCTCCGCTTTGCATACCTGGCAGAGCTCCAATAATTTTTTGTTCATAATGGATATAAGCTGTAAGATCAGCTAAAAAACAATACTTAAGTAAGAGTTCATTACCTAGGTATGTATACACTTTCAATTCATGTAAGTACTATTAAAGTATATACATAAACTTCATAAGTATAAAAATATATGCATTGTAGTAAAATGGTATATATAATTAAATAAGCCTAATAATTTTGTAATACTTACGTACAAAATTACTTCAAATGTTTGCGCTAACACTATGTAAGTATTCAAACTGAACCATAATTACTATTAAACATTCAATAGCACTTTTTACTTTTTGTAAACAAACATAGGTTCCTTTGAAGTTTGAAACTTTTATCTTCTTGTTTTTATTAATGGCTTGCTTTGTGAGTTATCACAATTACGCCAATGTTAAATTGTTGTCAAAATTCTCAATTTTATAATATTCACAATGAACTTCTAATAGACAAATGAAATTTCGAAAATAATTTAATCGAAAAAATCTAAATACAAAATCAGTTTGAAATTTGATTGAAGTTTGAAGTACTGTCTTCTTCTGACTTCTGTCTTCTGTCCTGTCTGACGTTGACATTTACGCGATGTGCATTTTCGAACATGGCTAGAATAAGCGAATATAAAGGCAGTGTTTTAGTAGTTAGTATGATATTTTAGTAAAAAATTATATATAAATAATAGTAAATAATTTAATATTTTTTAAGTTAATCATAGATAAACGCTTTCATCATTTGGCAAACTTCATCCCTTACTTGATCTAAATGAAACTTTATATAGAACTGTCCAGATAACATCTCACACTGGAATAACTTTAAGAGTATGAGTACAAATAGTCTCATAAAGTTATCATCATCATCCTCCTGCCCTTATCCCACCTGGGGGAGGGGGGGGGGGGTCTTACAAAATCATCATCATCACCCAATTTTAAAATACAATAAATAAAAAACAAATTTTTTTTTGTTCAGAAAGTCATGAATTAATTCACATTGAGATGTTAGTTATTATCAACTAATTTAGGTACACTGGCTAGTAAATAATGGAGCTTATATTACGGAAATATCATGGTCGATAAGACCAATCATTAATTTTCTTTCATATAAATATTTAAATAGCAAGTTTCCTTAAAAAACAAGACGATTATTGTGAATATTATAAATCTTTCAATTCTTTACCTTTACATTTTTATTCGCTTTACAGATGAAGGAGACCTCTTCCAGTGTTGTTTCTGCTACCGTGCAGCAAAATGCTAGATGTTCCTGACAATGTAAGTGGTAGTATAGGTACCTATGAAGTTAATAAATTAACTCACTTCTCGCAGCGAGCATCACACCATTAGTTGGTGTGATGATTTTAACTTTTGAACATTATTATTTTTGATAGTCTTTTACAATAGACTATTATTGAAACGATGAATAGATCATTTAAAAATATACATACTCTCTGCTTCGTGCACGTTTTTAAATTCTTCACGTTTACGTTTTTATTTGCACAGTAACTGCAAGCTCCCGACGATTCGCGAACTTTTCAAAGATCTAACAAAACAGTTCTTGGATAGAGCCGAACATTATCCCAATCCTCTGGTGGTAATAAGCGCCGTCAGCGCAAAGTCCTCATCGACCCGGTCGAGGGAGGAGACCTAAGTACGTTGGACCCACCGTCGGGGTCCCGCCAGATAACACTACTCACAGTCAGTGCAACAGCAAACACCATAGTTCGTCCTCGCCTTCAAGCACGGTGAAACCAACATAACGCGTACACTAGGTACACGCGTGTTCCAGGGCGGTTTTCACCGCCCCCAGCCTCCAACTAACTAAGCACAGTCAACGGCCATCAGGGTCACGGTCCGCACCGAACCTTGCTAGTTCATAGGCGACACTCCGTAACTAACGAACGCATGAGCTTAAATAGTCTTGGGACTTAAAGCGTTAACATCACCTAATACAAAATCCAAGAGATGTTTTTTCATTGGCCTGATGTCTCATATGAGTCTCTCCGAATTCTTAGAAGCCTACTTTACTTTTAAGTCAATGAGAATCTAGGACGATTAGGTACATTAATTTCCGATCCAATTACCGCTTTATTCACAAAGTTTAAAATATACAATTTTATCATAGAGGAAACTCTAAATATCAATGTAGGTCATACAAAAAGTCGGTTGTAACAGAATGTGGCTGTGCTATCTTTAAAGCGTTCAAACATTGCTTAAACGTTTACCGTATCTCTTAATTGTACCTACACGCTAGTGATGAACTGAGCAGGGATTCTGTCTAACATCGAGTTAATTGCTCAGTTAAATCGACCACGACGATCGGCGCTTTTCCCATTTTTATGTTCAGAAAATCTTTTATTTCAACGTTGTCATTACTAAGATAAGACTAAGCTCACCTCTGGAGTTGCAGATGGATTGCTATCATCTAAAACCGGTTACCTCACTCACCCAATGAAATGCAAAAGTGTAATAATTCCACTTCATCAGATGGATCCGCAAACAAATATATATATTGTTCAGTCTTAATCGATCTCATTTCGACCCCATCACTATTGCGTGCCATAATCAAGGGCTGGCAAATTAATTGTTTATATATTCGGACAATATTTTTTCTATCAGTTTCGTTCAATATATGAATCGTTTTCATGCTTTCTATTATATTAAATAGAAAATAGGTTTTTCCAAATTTTGGTAGGTATGAATAATTCCACTTCATCAGAAGGATCCGCAAACAAATATGGAAAATGAAGGTGCATTTTTTTATGAATAGTAATCATTAAGGTGTAACTAGGTTTATATTCTTCTTACATCAGGTATTGTCAAAAATTAATACGAGTATGAACGTGTCTGCCATAAGAAATACTATTTATATGGAGTTATGGAATAGCGCCTTTCACGAATTTTAGAAGTCTTACAATTAAAATGTTTAATAATAAGTAAGGCTGTGTTGAAATTATTACATTATGTATGTTTAATTGACCTATTGTTTTATAAACACCGTGGCAACTTATCTCAACCCTGTGACTAACAAGCGTTAAGCTATAAGCATATATAGTAGTTAGTTGCGCGAAACATTAGTCTTAGACGAAAGGCAAATCCTTACGGAGCAATGATTATATTCATTTCCCGCGCTTAAAATTATATATGCATATAATTTGCAAATTTCAATCTTTGCCATGCTAACGTTACAAAAGTGACAATGGTTAGTTCAAAGTGTTAAACCAATCAATCCAACAATGAAAACTTTGTCTGAAAATAAGAAAGGTAAGCGATATTTCAAACAATTACAGTATACAGTGTAATAAAATAATCTTTTTGTTAGTATTGTATTAGAATAAGATAATTCATTAAAATATTCAATGTCCATGCATATTTATATAAAATAATACAGTGTATGCAGAAGCGTCGATACAAAATTACCTATTACATAGAACATTAACAATCGTGCAGTTCCACTCTACAATATTCTAAGTGCGCAATGCTGGGTTTTCTCAGCATGTGATATTATTAATAAATAATGAAATATCTCATAACATATTTTATTCTAAATGAATATAAACTCTCACGACCGATGACAATTAATAGCAACAAAGTTGTTAAAGTATTTTCTTTCTAAATATGTGTGTATAAGTACGAATAACAACATGTGTTACAATACCCAAAACGCCCAAAATAAGAAACGTATCGTGAAATAAAGTATACTTTCATATGATGATTTATTTCTCAATTAACCCATTATTTAATACATTGTTTTAATATTTTAGTACTTATAAAAATGTTAATTTATTGATGCTTCATTTTGATATAGGTACTGTGTTAGTTTACTAAAGTTCTGATATTACACACTTCTAACTCTAACGGAAGTAACAGTTTTCGCCACGCAACAGTGTTCGCTGTTACACGAATGAACAGGTCTGTCCGGGGAAGTACCATGACCTCACAGAAGACCGGCGTGAAGTAGAAGTTTAATACTTCTGCGTTTAGTCTGGTGAGTGAGGTAACTGGAGTCTACTTTATTAAACGGCTGCAACGAATCTGCAACCCTAATTACGCATCTGTAAGCCTTTTCTAAGTCAGGCGATTAATGTAATCGTTACTCCGCCAGTTCAGTGTCTTATTAACTTTCTGTCTTGTTAATTTCAATCAATAAATTGTAAAGGTCGTAAAACGGATGGTAAAGACTAAACAATATGGTCAATTTGGAATAAATGTCATAAACAACACAGTTGAAAGAATGCTAACGTCGTCGCTTTAAAATTTGGGTTTTGCCGAAATTATTCGTGCGATGTTTGATTTATTAATTGTCTCCTCTATTTTTGTCATGGTCCACAGGTGTCATGGTACATGGTACATAGTGTCATGTAATGTGGTCTTTGGGATCTTAAACTGCTTCCAGATTAGAATTACATTAGTAAAGAAATAACGATGAATGGAATAAATTTCAATTGGATTTGACAAGTGTATAATTTGCTGTTTAGCAAATTATAAATATAGAATTTGTCTAGAGTCTCCTATTACGACTTTGTATCGTCAACGTGTGAATGAGCTGTTGACGTAAGAACTGTGTCAAATAATGATTAACATAATGCAATGAACATAAGAAATTTGTGGCCGATTTATCTCTAGTGTTAACGTTTTTATGCACTCTGGAAGACAGTTGACAATGACTCATGAACCTGTATGTAAAAAAATATAAACAAATCAGTATGGAAAAAATACATACATATGAATAAATTTTTTTTTGATTGTAATTATTTATCTTCTATGCGTTTTTGTTTCAAAATAAACAACAAACACTACCCTACTAGCATTACTTCTTATATATCTTTTTTGAATCGTTTTGTTTCCAGACTCGATTAATTCTCAAACAAACCGGTTTCCGAAAAGGTTCCAGGACTGTAGACGATATCTATATGTCATGGTGTTGTACAAAATACCCCAATACCTCTATAGGTATTGAGGTATTTTGTACAACAAGGTTACGATGTCCGTCCGAGAACAGTCCAGTAATACAAAGCCTATCCAACTGCAAAAGAGTGTAAGACAGGGTGATGTGATATCCTCGAAACTCATCACCACTGCATTGGAAGATTTTTTCAAGCGACTAGAATGGATTAACAATAATGGCGAATATATCATCAATCTTCGATTTGCCGACGACGTAGTCGTTATTACAGAATGACTGAAGGATTACTATGCTCAATGACCTCAACAGTGTCTCCCAACGGGTCGACCTCAAGATGAACATGAACAAGACGACGATCATGTCTAATGTCCATGTCACGCCTATACCGGCTGTTATTGGGAGCACTGTGCGAAGTTGTTGACGAGTATGTTTACCTAGGACAGTTAGTCCGATTAGGTAACATCGACGCTGAGGTCCATCGGTAAATCCAACTCGGATGGGCAGCGTTCGGGAAACTGTAGCATATCTTCTCGTCCAATGTCGATGTTTGAAGATTAGTTAAATTTGATAAGTTAATAAGATTGATTAAAGTCTTTAATCAAAATATGTTGCCAGTGAGACTTGGCCCTTTACTGCTGGCCATGTAAAGAAATTCAAAGTGGAGCAAGCTACGGAGCCGGCTTCTCTGTGTTTTTCTGCGTCATGGAGTTCGCAATGAAGACATCCGTAGTAGTACAAAGGTTATAGACATATCTCAAAGGCTCTAGTAAGCTGAGCGTAGTGTAAGACGACCTCCCACTAGATGGAGGGACTGCCTATGAAGTGTGCGGGAAATCGATGGATGCAGTTGGCTCAGCTTCGTGGCAGTCTGTAGGGGAGGTCTATGTAAGTTCTATAAAAAGTGGACTAAAACATTCTGAAATGATAATGATGAGTCTATGTGAACTTAATCTTCGTAGGGTTTAACCATTGTACCATGTTTATAAAACCCTCCTTTCGTGATACAAAGATTCTAAGCATGCGCGGGTCTTGTTTTGTTTTGAATTTAATTTACCATTTAAGCTGATAACATAACTGATTTTTTTATTATTATTTATATTTTCCTTTACTCTAAATGTGAACACTACCGTTAATAAATTATAAGTAACATATAAAGCGGAAAAGTACGAAAACAAGTCAGGTGGTTTCAAACTTTACATAACTTGTAATTTTAGATAGATTTAATCTTTTAATTATTAGATCAATAAAGATTGTAGTTTTCACTTGTAGGATATATATAAACTTTTAAGATTTTTAAAATATTGAACCGCAATTGTTGGAAAAAGATTTTTGCATTTTAACAGTCAAATTCTTCTTAATTCGTTAGTTC